CGCTCCGCGCCGTCCCCGCCGCGCTCAGCGGGAGCCCTCGGCGGCCCGAGCCGGTGCGCGCGGAGCGGCGGGCGCGGCACGCAGCGCCCCGAGGCTCTTGGCGGCCGCCGCCGGGTGGGCGGGCGCCAGCCGAGGGGCCTCTCCATTCATTCCCTCATTAGGGATGCGGGGCCGCCTCCGCCCGCCGGGCCGGGCTTCCTCAGCGACTCGCCCCACCCGCGGAGCTGGCCGTCCCCCCAGAACCTCCGGGGTCTTGAGATCTGTTTGGGGTCGCGGGGTGGGGGTCGTGGGAATAGGTAGCAGTCCCCTCCTTCCCCCGTTTTTATGGATTGCATTTGTTTCACTGGAGGGGGCTTGGGTGCCATCCTGCCCTGCACTTTGCTTAAATTCTTTCCTCTGCTTTAATTCCTGGTTTCCCTGGAGCCTTCTTTCGGCCCCCTTCTGCCCTGAGGTGGTGGTCAGGGTCAGGGTTGGACAAAAGGCACAAAAGCCTCGTGTAAGGAGCTGGCCCAGAAAGCGTGTGGAAGAGCCCCCCTCCCCCCGCACCCCACAGCATCCCTGGAGTGGGTGAGACTTGGGAATCACGATGCCTACACTGGCGGATCGTCACTTCCTGGGATACGAGGAAGTGTCACTTAGGCCAGCTTACTCAGGGAGAGGGGAAGGCTGGCTCTGATTGTGCCCTTCCATCCACCTGCCACTCTTCAGGTCCTGTGTGTTGTACTTTGTCCCGATGCAGTGCTGCTGTGCCTTCACTAATGTTTTGCACACTTGGCCTCTAGGATAAAAAAACTTTTACCATCTCCCTATCCATTTTCTTTGCAGAATTTTTATCACATTTTTTTTCATGGATGGGCCGAGAGATAAAAGGAGGGACAGATAGGACAAGATTGATGGATTTTGTTGAGCAGCTTTTTTCATCCTCGAATGGGAATCTTGGGGTGATGGGAAATTCCTCCTCTGTCCTGAATGCATCCATTTGAAGAATTCCTGCACCAGATGGTTTTTATCCTGACTCATTAAAAGTTGTTTCTGAAAAGTTAACACTTGACCCTTAAAACATGGGCCAGAAGGGCCTAAAAATAGCAAACACATATCTCGAGGGAATATATATATATATTCCCTCTCAGTGTGTAGTCACTTCTAGAACACCAGCTGTGTGTTTATTTCTCTAGCACCCTATGTTTTAAACATTTCTCAGTTCCACAAAGCAAAGGACAATCACAAGACCCCTTTGGTGGCCATCTTGACTGCTCAACGAGGACTCGGGCTTTGGAACTAACTGCAAGGCCAAAGCCGGAATTACAGTGTGTCCCTGGAACTGCCACGCCTTTAGGGTCCTTCAGAAATGTGGGTTCACAAAGACATACTGAAGCACGAGTTTGTACTTTCTCATCAGCTGAAGGTCGCCCACACAGCAGCCCCACTGAACACTGCTTATACAGAAGTCCCTCATGTTACAGCCATATCTGCGTGAACCTAGGAATAAACAAGCATCCCTGAGAAGATGCCGCCCACTGGGATACCCATCACTTCTTCCATCAGTACCTTAGATCTGTTCACAAATGATCCCTGTCCTCATCTTTGTGGTGACCCTGACAGGCGTATTTGTTTCCATTTTACAGACTTCCGCTGAACTGACCTATTCATGGCCATAGCTGCACCAGGTTAATGAGACACAGAAGAAGATAACTGGAATGTGCAGGGGTGTTCAAGCTTGCATCAGTCACAAGACCTATGAGCTCAACCCTGTAAGCCATGAGGCTAATTAGAGACAGAGCTCAAAGGAAAGCCCCAGATCTGGGCCCAGTGGCTTCTACACAGACAACTCCTTCAGCTACACCTGTGACACTTTGCCCAAATATTGAAATTGACTATTACTTAACAATACAAAAGGACACTTGCTTTTATGTCATTGCTGAGCAGCTTTCATCGCAAAGGCGCTACCTTCAAAGGGAATCATTTTTCTATCTAATAAGATAGATGAGAAACAATTCTATCTTTAAAAGCTAGCATTTAATTAATGGTAATACCCACAGTCCTAGGCTTGGTATGTAGTGAAAATGCAACTTTTCATAGGTTAAAGAAAAACACCCCCCATTAAAAAAAAGAAAGTTCCATGTTCTTCTGCTCTAAAAGGGCATGAGGGGATGTTGGGACGGTGTCAAAATTGTTTAGCCTTAGTAGTTAATAATGAAAATGCCCACAAGCAAACTTTTCCTGCATGGCGTTTTACAGCTGTGACCGTGCGGAAATGGCAAAGGGAATTTTTAAGGCTTTTAGCAATTCTCTTTGGGGCTATTAACAAAATGTGGCGCCTGTAGTTTAGAAGCTTCTGAGGTTGGGTGGTTTAAGAGTTTCAGAAGGAAGTCGAAGTTCTGACAAAATAAGCAATGAGGATCGACAAGGTGCTAAGCTATGGCTGGTGCTAAAGAGTGCTGTTGACATTGGCCCCATGGAAGAAACTTGAACATGAACAACTACAGCTACACTTGGCACTTGATAAGTCATTTGAATTTTATTGATTTCACCATAATTTAAATCCAGAAACCAGTCTGTTCCAGTTTTTTTTTCGTGTTCTTTAAATTATATAGAAAGAACATAACTGTTGGAATCGACCTTTTCAGCTCCAGACTTCCTGTAACCTAAACACAAGATCAAGTATTTCTCATGAAGACGTATCACCTAAGGGCTGAAGACGTGGCTCGGCACGTAAGGGTACTTGCTGGGCAAACACAAAGACCTGAGTTTGCATCCCCAGCATCACGGAAAAAGCCAGGTACAGTCACTCAGACTGTAGCCCCTGACTGTGGGGATGGGCGCAGACGGATGCTTAGCTGTTGGCTCCAGGTTCATTGGGAGACACTGTCTCAAAGGAAGAAGGCACACACACTACACACATGTACCATACACATATACCACACACACGATCTCTCTCTGTCTCTCTCACACACACACATGCACACACATGTGCGCGCGCACACACACACACACACACACACACAATACCAAGTGTATATGTTTAAAAGAGTAGGAGAAGAAAAGATGTAAGAAGTCTCACCGACAGACATGGATAACAGATTAAAATGTAACTTTTGATACATTAAGCTACTGAAATAGATTACTAAGATTCATTTCAGCATTGTTTTGCATTTTGAGGTGTAGACACTGAGGAATGCACGCTTACAGAAGTGGCTTACACATTACACATCCAGTGCACAGCCCTTCTGTATTAGTTCAAAATTCACAATAAAAAGGTTCGAATGCTGAAGAGGCAAAGGCCTCAATTAGAAGCTATTAATTATTTATTCTGTGGGACAGTGGCACCCAGCACACATTTATTGAGTAGCACATGCCCAACAGACAATGTCCAAAGAGACTAACTACCCTTCACCAATCAGCAGCAGCAAGCATCATCTTTAATTTAGAGAGTTTAGTGAGAAGCATGTTGAAAGCGTACAAACCAGTGTGAACAGGTTATAGTCAATTGTCAACAGTGACCAAATGTGACAGCAGCGTTAATAGTAAATTCACAAAACTACAGTAAATTCATAAAACTACTATACCAATGCATTATAGATACCTGATGTCTAAGGCCCGCTAATGGCTCAATGGGTAAAGGGGGTTATGCACGCTGGGCAACCCAAACTCTATCCCCAGAACGCACATAAGTGTGGAGAGAGAGAGCCGGCTCCACAGCGTTATCCTGTGACCCCACTCACGTGCTGTGACAAGTGAGCCCCAACCCAACGGACCACATGCATAATAACAAATAGGTAACTTAATTAAAATATAGCCAATATCCAACAGACCTGGCTGGAAAATAGTTACTAATTGGGGCATACTTTGTTTCAGATTCTGTGGGAAACTTAGACCTTTCCACTTAACCACTCAAGATAATGACAGGCTGGGCCGTTCTGTAAGGTGATAAAGACTGATCCCAGCTAATAAAACAGGGCTGATGCCCACCAATAAAGAATCTACATTTCTTTTTATAAATAATCTGGCTCCTGATTGCATTCCAGTGGTTAACAGGCTGTATTGTCACTGTGTGTTGACATTCATCACTGTGGAATGGACAAAGGTTTCAAGAAAAAAGATATATGGCACTTGAAAGACCACACAGGGAGATAACTCAGTAGGTAAAGTGCTTGCCTTGCAAACACAAGGGCCTGAGTTCAAGTCCCAGAACCCACATGAAGGGTGTGGTATGGTGGTGAGCACTCAAAATCCCAGTCACGGGGGCTGGCTAGACAGCCAGCCAAGCCTAGTCGGCTAGCCCCTAGTGAGAAATCTGCTTTCTTAGAAAAGATCTCTCTCTCTCTCTCTCTGTCATACACACATCCACACACCCACGGAGGCATGCAAGCAGCACACAAATTAACACTAAAAACCTGAGATTGGGAAGATGGCTCAGTCATCAAAATGCTGGCCATGCAGAAATGAAGATCCAAGTGCTCCCATATTTCCAGCGCTGGAGAGGTGGCAAGCATCTGCAGG